GAATCACTTGAACTTGGGAGGTGGAGGTTGCAGTGAGCTGAGGTCACACCACTGCACTCCAGCCTGGGCAACAGAATGAGACTCCATCCAAACAAGAAAGAAAGAAATCCCTGCTTTTCCAACACTAAATCTGTGAAACAAATCTTAGTAGGCAATTTATCAGTAAGTACCAAGAGCCTTAAAACTGTTGCTAACTTTGATTAATTCCCTTCTGAGAATCTCATCTAAGGAAATCATTTGAAGGGCAAAGATTTATGCACAAGGATGTCCTCGGTAGCAGTATTTTTTTTTATTATGAAGAATTTAAAGCATATGTAAAAGTGGAAAAGAACAAAGTAGAAATACTAGTACAATCGACCTCCATATATCTATCACCCAGATTCAATAATTTATTGCCACATTTACTTCTTCAACTAATCCCCTTTCCTTTATAAAGTCTCTGCTTAAATATTAAGCAAATTCCAGATTATCAGGCCATTTCGGTCATCCATAGTTCTATATGTATCTTGTATATATATGCATTTCATTCACAGTTCTATATGGAGTTAAGCTTGTGCATTTTACTATATAAGCTTAAAGCCAGTATCACACGTAGTAAAATGAGTAACACTCAGTCTACAAGAAAATTTCCTCAGTTATCTTAAAAATGTCCTTTTTTGGCTGGACGCAGTAGCTCATGCCTGTAATCCCAGCACTTTGAGAGGCTGAGGGCAGGTGGATCACCTGAGGTCAGGAGTTTGAGACCAGCTTGGCCACCATGGTGAGACCCCCGTCTCTACTAAAAATATGCAAATCAGCTGGGCATGGTGGCAGGTGCCTGTAATCCCAGCTACTCAGGAGGCTGAGGCAGGAGAATCGCTTGAACCCAGGAGGCGGAAGTTGCAGTGAGCTGAGATTGTACCACTGCACTCCAGCCTAGGAGACAAGAGTAAAACTCTGTCTCAAAAAAAAAAAAAAAAAAAGTCATTTTTCAGTTTGTCTATTCAAATCAGCATCCATCACGATCCACACATGGCATGTGGTTATAGGAGCTCTTAGATCTCCTTGAATCTAGAGTGGTCCCCTTTCCTTAATATTTTTATGCCACTGACTTTTTGAAGAAACCAGGTCACTTGCCCTGTAGGATAAGCCACATTCTAGACTTGTCTATCAGTTAGGATAAGCTGGGTTATATTGTGGCAACAAGCAATTCCAAAATCTTATTGGCTTAAAACAATGAAGCTTAATTTCTCATTCCTTCAACATACCCATCTCAGATTGAGCTACTGCTGGCTGATAAAATTCCTTTACCCAAAATATTGAAAAGAATATAAATAAAAACTGAAATTGATACAAATCCTTTAAATAAAGTATATCAGTTACAATTTCCTGTTTAAATATATTGTTAAAATATCATGCAAGAGCATTTTGTTGTAATTACTAGGAAAGATTTGGGGAGCCCTGCTACCCGTTAAACATCAGTCTCACTTCCAGACCCAGACTATAAAGTAGTTACTGTGTACAACATTGTTGGTCAATTATGGCACAGGAGGAAAAGAGCCCTGAAGCGTCTCACATAGGCAACTAAATGCCTCAGCCTAGAAGTCAATTGTTCTTCATCTCATTGGCCAGAACTGGTCACATGGCACTTACCTAAACTAATGCCAGGAAGTACTATCTTGCTATGTCCAGGAAAAGCACAGATCTAGACATTTCAGTAAGCTGCATTAATGGCTACTAGTGTATTTGATGCCTTGCAGTGTTACTTTACTTGTTCCTCTAGCTCTTGAGATTCCTGAAAATGGAAGCTGTCTCTAGAGTATGATTAAATTCAGGTTCAATAATTTTGGCAGGGGTACTTCATAGGTTGGTCTGTGTGCTTTACATAAAATAAAATCACGTCCGAGGCCGGCCATGGTGGCTCACGCCTGTAATTCCAGCACTTTGGGAGACTGAGGTGGGTGGATAACCTGAGGTCAGGAGTTTGAGACCAGCCTGACCAACATGGAGAAACCCCATCTCTACTGAAAATACAAAATTAGCCGGGTGTGGTGGCACATGCCTGTAATCCCAGCTACTCAGGGGGCTGAGGCAGGAGAAGCGCATGAACCTGGGAGGCAGAGGTTGCAGTGAGCCAAGTTCGTGCCATTGCACTCCAGCCTGGGCAACAAGAGAGAAACTCTGTCTCAAAAAGTAAAATAAAATAAAAAAATAAAAGAATAAAAATAAAATCACATCAGGAAGCATACTGTGTTTGATTCTAATAGATTGTAGCAGTAATGGCTCCCTCTCACCCCAGCCAATTTTTTCTTTTTTGAAATTTAGTTTCGCACTTGTTGTCCAGGCTGGACTACAATGGCGTGATCTCCACTCACTGCAACCTCCACCCACCAGGTTCAAGCGATTCTTCTGCCTCAGCCTCCCAAGTAGCTGGGACTACAAGCACATGTCACTACTCCTGGCTAATTTTTGTATTTTTAGTGAAGACGGGGTTTTACCATGTTGGCCAAGGCTGGTCTCGAACCCCTGACCTCAGGTGAACTGCCTGCCTCAGCCTCCCAAAGTGCTGGGATTACAGGTGTGAGCCACTGCTCCTGGCCGGCCCCAATTTTTTCATACTTCCTTGTATTCATGCCCTTGGGCGGATACCTCTTGTTCTCACTCTGGGCTTGGCCACATGACATGATTCGACAGACAACAGCAAATCTGGTGGCAAACAGAGACTTGAAAATCGTTTGCACTGTATTTAGAGATAGCAGAAGAAAAAGAAAACTTTCCACACTGGGGATTTCCCTCTTTGCTACTTTTCAGAATGCTGAGGCCTGGGTTAGCCCCCTGGAGGACAAGAAACAACATGGAACAGAGATGAATAGTTCCAGTGGAGGCCACCTAGACCCCTAATCTGCAAACCTTAAAACATGTGAGTGAAGTCATCCTACACTATCTAGACCATAGGAGTTGCCAGCTGACCACAGATAGAGCAAAGCAAGCACAAGCCAGAAAAAAACTGCCAGTAGATCCACAGAATTGTGAGCAAATGAAATTGTTTTGTTAAGCCATTATTCTTTGAAGTGGTTTGTAACAGAGCAAAAACTGATACACTGGTTAATCCATTTTTAGCAAATCAATAGACTCAGATCCCTGCATTGCAAAGTTCCCCATCAATCTTTCAATTAATGCTAATCCACTGACTGTTGCCTTTATATTTAATTTCATGCAAATCAATGATAATTTTTCTTTTTTTGTGTGACAGTGTTTTCCTCTGTCACCCAGGCTGGAGTGCAGTGGCATAGTCATGGCTTACTGAACTCTTCTGGGCTCAAACCTCCCACCTTAGCCTCCAAAGCGGCTACCACTACAGGCACACACCACTCTGCCTGGTTTTGTTACTTAAAAATTTTTTTTTGTAGATATGGGATCTTACCATGTTGCTCAGGCTGGTCTTGAACTTCTGAGCTTAAGAGCTCCTCCTGCCTTGGCCTCCCAAAGTGCTGGGATTATAGGTGTGGACCACCATGCCTGGACTAATGATGATTTTCTAATTCTATTATATCTTCCACATTAATGAGCTGGAATTCTTCTGCAAAGCACTTTCTCACATCTCCTAGGGTTATTTAGTAACTCTCAAATATGGTCTGTACCTGATAGACGCCCAGTTCTTTCCTTTTAAATATAAATATTCTATGAGAAATTTTGCCCTAGTTATAGCCCACGGCATCCAATGAGGGTTTTGTTTTGCTTTTATTTCTTCTCTCCTATCAATATGAATTCACTTTTAAATATATTAAGTATGGTTGCAGTCAACTGTGATTTTTTTTTTCCCTGCTCAAATTGCCCTTTCTTTTTTTTTTTTTTTTTTTTTGCTAATAAGAGTGCTTTCATATTGGTTTCTGTATCCTCTTGACATTATCCATTAGTCTCTACTTTCTGGCACAACAAATGTCCCAGGCTCATCTTATTTATTTCTTGTCACACTTTTGGAATTATCCATTCCTCCAATTAATGGGAAAGCTATTTAGAGATCACAATCTGGGTACTTGATGTGCTCACTGATATTTGGATGTCACTGCTTCTAGATCTTTTCAGTGGACTTAAATAGTATTCACAAAAAAGAGAAAGAGGGCCGCGTGTGGTGGTTCATGCCTGTAATCCCAATGCTTTGGGAGGCTGAGGTAGGCAGATTGCTTAAGCCCAGGAGTTTGAGATCAGCCTTTACTCCAGCCTGGGTGACAGAGCAAGACCTTGCCTCAAAAACAACAAAAAGTAAGATTATATGTTTCCTAACATTTCTCTGAGGTTTTCAAACCAGAACAAACAAAAGTAAAGGACGGGTGCAGTGGTTCATGCCTGTAATCCCAGCACTTTGGGAGGCCAAGGTGAGCAGATCACTTGAGCTCAGGAGTTCAAGACCAGCCTGGGCAACATGGTGAAACCCCTTCTCTACAAAAATAGAAAAATTAGCCAGTTGTGGTGCTACGTACCCATAGTCCTAGCTACTTGGGAAGCTAGGGTGGGAGGATGGTTTGAGTCCAGGGGATGGAGGTTGTAATGAGCCAAGATCGAGCCACTGCACTATTGCCTGGGTGACAGCCAGACCCTACTTAAAGAATTTTTTTTTACAAATGGGAATTGGCCATTCCAAATGATTTTAGAAGAAAAAATAAAATTATTTGTTTTACTGGGCCCAGCTCAGGTTCCATGACTTCAGTGAAACCTTCCCATAAGTACTTTCTCTTTTCTGACCTCTTACATTGTTTACTATCTATATTGCTCACTTAGCCCTTTGCATCAATCAATCAATTAAAAAAATTAATGCACTACGATCTGAAGAGCACTATAGTGGATGCTGTGAAGAGGCAATGTATTACCCATTAAATTTTCATGTGTAGTCACTTCCTTGATTAAATTATATACTGAAGCCAAAGCTTCCTCATTTCCTGCATGGTGGCCAGTACTGCTGACTGATAAAAACAGAATTCCTTTACCCCAAATATCTAAAAGAATGTAAATAAAAACGGAAACAAATTGATACAAATCCTTTTAATAAAGTATATCAATGACAGCTTTCTGTTTAAATAAATATGTTGTTAAAAAATCATGTAAGAGCATTTTGTAATAATTACTAGGAAAGATTTGAAACTACTGTTCCCTCTGCAGAAACGCTATGTACAGATGCAAAATGATCAAAGGCTGATACAATAATGAATCTCAAGTAAGTAGCGGAGCCATCACGTGCCTGTAGGGGAAAAAATAAATATAAATGCTTTTAGGAATGCTAGTTAACTGTTAACAAGCAGTTATCAGAAGAAAGGGCTTGATGCAAGAGTAATATTCTAAATACATAACAATATATAAGGCCAGCTACATATAATAGTTGTGGTACATATCAGCTAAATACCAACCTTGATTTGATGAAAAATAGCAAGTGGAGCTAAAAACTGCAACTGTCATTTCTTGCAGGGACGGGGTCTCGTGTGTTGCCCAGGCTGGTCTTGAACTAGCCTCAAGCAACACTCCTGCTCCAGCTTCCCAGGTGCTGGGATTACAGGCATGAACTACCATGCCCAATTTCTAATTTTTTAAAAGTATCTTTCTAAAGTATTTTTCGTAATAAAGAAGTTTCCTCTGGTTAGCGTTGCCTCTGAATATACTACCCTGAAGCATGACTACATTTTTATATTTATATAATTTCTCTGGAAAGCAATTAGCCAATATATTTTAAAGTTGTAAATATATTTATACCCTGGCACCCAGTAATTGTATTCCTTGAAATTTAATCTTAGAAAGTAAGAAAAAAGGTATTACTTATAATGACAGAAGGAGGAAAAAGAAAATTAGTTTAAATGCATGCCAATTGGCAAATGTTATTTTTAAATTGTACTTATGAAGCCTGTTATATAATACTACTAAGTAAAAAAAATGACATAAAATTGTCCATACATCATTATTCTAACTATGTACAGCATATGGTCAACAACTAGAAGAAAATAAACGTAGTAAAAGCTTTTGTGACAGGGTAATAACTTTTTTTTTTTTTTTTTTTTTTGAGGCAGAGTCTCACTCTGTCGCCAGGCTGGAGTGCAGTGGCACAATCTCAGCTCACTGCAACCTCCACCTCCTGGGTTCAGGCAATTCTCTGCCTCGGCCTCCCAAGTAGCTGGGATTAAAGGGGCCCACCACCACGCCTGGCTAATGTTTGTATTTTTCATAGAGACAGGGTTTCACCATCTTGGGTAGGCTGGTCTTGAACTTCTAACCTCATGATCCACCCACCTCGGCCTCCCAATGTGCTGGGATTACAGGTGTGAGCCACCGCGCCTGGCCAGGGTAATAAAATTATGGGTGATTTTCAGCCTCCCGTTCCCCCTTACTATTTTCCAAATTTTCTATAATGCTGTGACCCTCCACAGTGGAGTCCTGAAACAATATGCAAAAGGTAGCAGGAGCTTACTAATCAGAACCCATAAAGACAGAAAAAACAGAAAGATAAAATTGAGTATCATTAGTCATTTTTCAGGACTTCAATGGCTTCCCCAGTTATTGGGTGAATTTTGGTGGGAGAGAAAGGAACTAATGGGATGCACCGATTTAATAGCAGCTTCCGGCAAGTTGTGAAGAAATAAAACTTAATGGAAAAGGTACCATTTTAACCCTCATTTAGAGAAACCTTAATTAAACCTAATAAGTAGATATTCAGTTGTTTTACTTTTTGTGTTTGTCTAAAACCATGGTCTGACCAACTAGCAGGAAGAGAGGAGCTCCTGATGAGGCAGCAGCTTCCTCATCAACAGGCATTCATTTCACTTGACAAGCAAAGCCTGATGGAATGTTATCGAAAAACACTGGTTCTCTTTCCATCTCATCTCTCTTTGGCTTATTTGTTGCTGATCCTATGCTCCAGTTCCCCTTATCTGAATCTCCCTTGTCCTTTCATGCTTAAATTAACATCCAATTTTGGCATCTTGACCTTTTTTGATTCCTATTCTAAAATGCCTATGGAATCAAATGAAAGAAAGCAAACCAAATAAACTACTTCAAAGTAAATGAATGAGAAAAATAAAACAAAAAGTGAGTTGTTTTATCTTGCTGTCACTCTCTATGAAACAGCCTAATTTATGAATGTACATTTAGCTTATATTAAGAACAACTTTCTCTAGGGGTTGATTTAGGTACAGAACCTATAAAATTATAAAGATATTTATTAACTATGACTACAGAGATAGGTTTTAGGTCTAAATACACTGTGCAGGTTGATTTTTCATTCTATGAAGTATATTTACTTACCATAATTTCTTCATTTTGAAGCTGCCCCTCTGTGTGTACCAAATCTAAAACACAAATGTAACAGAAGAAATGAGTTAAAGATCAAAATACATGAGAATAGTTACTGAAATTTATGTTCAGCAAAATATGATATCTGGTAAACTGTAAGACCAGATTTGAAGGAATCATCAAATCATCATTTGCATGTTGAGATATGATTTAAAACTAAAGACACAGGATATACAAGGCAAAAAAGATGAACTATTTATGAGCTATAAAATATCCTAGTGTGTATAAGCAAAAGGAAATGCAAATGTCAATCATATTGATAGTAAAGGAATATAAGGAACTGATAAAATGTGAAAATTTCTTTTTAAAACATTTATTTTTTAAAATCCCCTTTTCAAGAAAAAAGAAGTGAAAATTTGAGGATCCAGCTGCCAACAGAAAGAAGCCATTTTACCATACCTGTGGGTAACAACTAGAGCTGAGCTTCTCAATAAACTCACTATGATGCATAATTGTGTGGCCCATGAAGTAATCTTCTGGTATCCAAGTTTAAAAAAAGTTTCCTTATGTAATTTGAGAGCAGACTAATTTATTTGATCATGAGTTAATCATATCAAACATTCTTTTAGAAACATGAAAGATTTAATTGCTATGATAGCTAATGTCAGTATTTAAAATTAATTTTATATAAAATAATGTACATAACATAAAAGCCCCATAGTATTAAAAGAGAAGTCTCTGTGATTGTTTCCTCTTTTCTGAAATCATAAAAATCATTAATATGCCTTAGTCCTTCTTTCTCCTCTAGTCCTGCTTCCTAGAAGTAAACATTTTCAACTCTTTATGCTGTTTTCCCTGGATTTACAATATGTTTGTATTCCTTTTCTTGTTTATTAATTTTTTACTGACTTTATATTATGGTAGGTGAAATTTTAGCTTTTTAAAACTGAAATCCCTTCTTCCTCCTTCAACTTCTCTCTCCTTCCCTCCTCTCAAATTTGAAATCCTACTTGATGGTTACATTACTTTGTCTGTCTAGATGTTATTTACTCCTGAAATAAGTAATAAATTGTAATCATATTTTCCTTCTTGTACAACTCTACCACCAGAAAACAGATTTTTTCATTTGCTTAGTTTTTTTAGTTACAAAAAACTGAAAAATATCAAACATACTAACGAGAGAACATTAAAAAACTCCCACATGTACCTGTAATCTAGATTTTATAACTACTAACATTTCATCATAGTGAATTCATTTTTTTTCCACTAAAGTATTTTAGGCCAGGTGCGGTGGCTCACTCCTGTAATCCCAGCACTGTGGGAAGCTGAGGCAGATGGATCACTTGAGGTCAGGAGTTTGAGACCAGCCTGGCCAACACGGCAAAAACCCTGTCTCTACCAAAAATACAAAAATTAACCAGGCATTGTGGTGCACGCCTGTAATCTCAGCTACTCAGGCAGGAGAATCGCTTGAACTTGGGAAGCAGAAGTTGCAGTGATCGAAGATTGCACCAGCAAATATATATATATTTTGTAGAGAAAAGATTTCTCCACGTTGCCCAGCTAGTCTCTTGAATTACTGAGCTCAAGCAATCTGCCCGCCTTAGCCTCCCAAAATGCTGGGATTATGGGCGTGAGCCCAGCCTCCCCCAAATACGTAATTATCCATTTCTAAAAAATAATTCTTTATATAACCATAATACCACTATCACAATAATATTAAAAATAGTGCTTTAAAATAATATGAAACCCAATTTCTATTCAAATTTCCCCTATTGTCCCTGTCTTCTTATATTTGGTTTATTAAAATCGGAATTAAGTCTCTTTTAACTTTGAACTGCTTTCTCTCCCCACACACATTTTTTTAATGCCTTTGACTTACCGAAGAGATCAGTACAATTGTCCTATACAATGTCTCACATTCTAGATTTTTTTTCTAGAGATGGGGTCTTGCTCTGCCACCCTGGCTAAAGTGCAGTGGTGTGATCACAGCTCACTGTAGCCTCAACCTCCTGGGCTCAAGTGATCCTTCCATCTCAGCCTCCAAGTAGCTGCAATTACAGGCATGTGTCACCATGCCTAGCTAATTTTTAAATTTTTTTGTAGAGACAACATCTTGTCATATATCCCAGGCCAGTCCTGAACTCCTGGGCTCATGCAATCCTCCTCCTTCTGCCTCCCAAAGTGTTGGGATTACCAGCATGAGCCACTGTGCCCAGCCCCACATTCTAGATTTTATCACCTTGCCTATTTGTGGTTTCACTTAATTTGTACCTCTATCCTCTATATTTCTTATAGATTAGAAATTAGAGCTAAAAGCTTGATTATATTCAGGGTTTGAGGACTTCATTAATGTCTGGTGATCTCTTGTCTTTTTTTACTTGTGGATGTTTGAAAACTGTGTGCATGAGCCACACTTGTTAATTACTGGACTTCAATAGGGTAACCAGAAATGAGCTAGCCTTTGTCAGTATCAATAGGTCTTTTTTTCTGGGGCCATTTAATTTCTTCAAAGATGAATGTTGCAATCTCCTAGCTGAGGGTATAATCTTGGCTGCTGATGTTAACACCAGTATACAAGATGGAGGCTTCCACAAGTATCCTATTTTCAACTCCACGTCTCACTCACTGTCTACTACACCTGGTCTTCTGAGCCTCAACAGTCTGTATTTCCAGTTGTCTCTTGAGGGTGATGGTGGAGGTCTGTGGGAGAGGGGAGTGGTCACCTAGCTTTATAGGATGGGTACCTAGAGTGTGACTACTCTGTATATAGATTTTCAACTAACTACCCTTGTTTTCTGACCCAGGTCTCATTCATACTTCCCATGGCACCTGTTGCCTTTCTGGGGTTCTGTGTAACAAAGCAGCTTGCTTCTCGTTGATATGCTCCTTGGTAAGAACTTAGGTTATGGGCCGGGCGCGGTGGCTCAAGCCTGTAATCCCAGCACTTTGGGAGGCCGAGGCGGGTGGATCACGAGATCAAGAGATCGAGACCATCCTGGTCAACATGGTGAAACCCCGTCTCTACTAAAAATACAAAAAAAAAATTAGCTGGGCATGGTGGCGCGTGCCTGTAATCCCAGCTACTCAGGAGGCTGAGGCAGGAGAATTGCCTGAACCCGGGAAGCGGAGGTTGCGGTGAGCCAACATCGCGCCATTGCACTCCAGCCTGGGTAAGAAGAGCGAAACTCCGTCTCAAAAAAAAAAAAAAAAACTTAGGTTATAACCTAGTTCATTCAGCTAAAGGAGGTACTACTCCTAAGAAAAATAAAAAAAAAAAACAAAACAAAACAAAGAAGGTACTAATCCTCCATCTGCTTTCCCTTTATCGTAATATACACTGATTTCTCATATTTGCTTCAGTTTGCTGGTTGTTTATTTGTCCTTGTAGGTTTATGCCTCTTTTTATTCCTTTACTATTATTTTCATGGTGTTTTGAGAGGGAAAAGAGATAGATACATGAAGGTAAGATGCTGTGTTTAATTAGAGGCTATCAACTCTGATGGTGATATTTAAATAGTACCATTAATTAGGAAGAATGGAAAGAAGATGAGAAACTAATATTAATTGTCTATTATATGCTAAACACTAGTTCACCAAAATCTTAAATGATAGGTAGCACCACCATTTTCCTGACAAGGATTCTGAAACTGAGAAAAATTAAGTCACATGTTAATAGTTATATAACCAGTAAATGAAGAAGCAGCCTTGTATTCAAACCTGGGTCTTTCTGGGCCCTAAATGTGTCAGAAGGATCAGGATCATTACAGTCATCTTTTTTCACCAAAGTACAGCTAGACAGGAAATGTAGAGTCAAAGGAATATTATCTACTCCTTCATGCTCAGAACAATGCAGGTGAAACACATACCTTTTTCAATCCATTGCTCAAAATCAACTGGCTCTTCAGATGTGCTCTTTTCAATCTTCAAGGTCCGTACTGACATTGTAAACAAAGTGAGTAAAGTGTTAATCTGGTTCTATGTTTTTGTACCTATATTTCTTTTTCCCTCTGCCTGAGATTGTCATGCACAATGGAATTACACAGAGCACTGAGATCAGAAACATCATGGAAGTTACTCTGTGTTTTCCAAGAAAACCCTACAGTAAAACAATAGTCTTGTGTAACTGATCTTCCAAATGTTTGCAACCATACAACGCAGAACAAGTAGAGCTTTTTTTGAATTTGGCTTTATTCAGATTTTTTTTGTGTTCTGGCTATAATACTATTGGTGTCTTGATCATAAACATTCCTGGAGAGCCTATGATGAGTCAGACATATTTATCCATTCACTTTTGACTACAATAGCATGAGAAAAATATTTTAACCCACTTTATTGGTGAGAAAACAGGTTTTGTTGAGCCAAGGAAGGTGTTCAATGACATACAGCTAGTAAGTGCCAGAAACAGAATTCAAACTTTAGGTCTGACTCCAGAGCCTCCACAATTAATGACAAAAGAGAGACTTAACAGGAATACAGTCTTTTCTCCACTGTCCCCAGTCCAGTCTCTACCACTCCAGATGCATTCCTCCTCCTCTTTGTCCTGTTTTGTGCCATGAGAAGCTAACCTCTGAGGACTACATCACATGGACTCACTTACCTACTGGCTTCTTATTGGATTTGGTCAGTGGGAGACACCACGGGGAGACTGGTATGGGGAAGTAAGATCAGCCTATTTTATTATCTCCACTCCCTACCTGCTTCAGTGCCACATCTTTGACAGTTTCTCCTGCCTACAGCTCCTATTAGTCAGGTCCTTTCACACAGGCTCCAGCTCTCACAGATCTCTGATAACACTATTTCCTTCCCAGGGCTGGTCACGGCTTCCTGCTATAGTTAGTTACGAGGGCCTCATCATTCCTTGCCTTGTTTGTTCCCTTAACCCAAGCCATAATTTTGCAAGTAGCCCCATCAATAGAGCCTCTTCATTTGAACCATCTAGGATGTATTCTGTTTCCTGCCATGATTTTATCTGATAATTTTATTCTTAAATAGACAAATAGGATTAGAATGATGTCCCAAGGGAGATTCTCCTCCTAAATTCCTCAGAAAATGCCACTAGTAATAGAAGAACCACAACTATCCAATGTAAATAATCAGGGTTATCAGATTTTCAACCAGAATTAGACAAAGAACTCCTGGACAAATGAATCTAGAATAAAGATGTCATGAAACTTGTTCTGGCAAACCGGTGTCTAACGTTCCTAATAGGGCCTTTTGTCAAAGACTTTCACATAGTAAACTGCATGGAAATTATTATGTGCTTTGGAAGGGTTTCAAATTTGCAGTTTCAGAGAAGCCAATTGAGCTCAAGGCAGTTAACCCATAATCCCCACCCTTTCAGCCCAGCAATAAAACTGGATTCCATGCTATAAAGAAAAACTAGTGTTTTGCCAAAAGTTTACATACATGCCTTCTGCCTGTGGAAAAAATTAAAGGATAATGAAAATTAACATATAAGCCTTACCTGGAACACCAAAAAAAAAAAAAAAAAAAAGAAAAAATTAATGTAAGATTTGCTTACCAAAGTAACTTTGGATTACAAGCCTTTCAATCCTTACATGTTTGTGGAAACAAATAATGAACTCCTGGGGAAACATTCCTGTAGTGGTCCAAAATGTGTCTGGATTCCTATTGTTAATTTAAAAAAAAAAAAAAGAATAGCCAAATATAAATCGTTAATCATAAAATTGTATTGAATGCCTGTTTTTTAAAATTAAATGACTACTGGACTCTTACATCTCCTTTCTGTTAATTCTGCCTATAATGTCTAATCTCTAATTTTAATAATTCTTCTGTACTACTACCAGGTATTCTTTTCTAAAACACAGAAACGGAATAGATATCACTCCTATTTAAAAGCCTCAGTGCTCCCTTATTGCCTATAATTCTAAACTCCTTTGTATGGCATTTAAGACTGTACAATCTGGTTCCATAATTAAGGTATATTCTCTTCCATTACTGTGGTCACATTGGGCCACTTAAAATTCTGCAAATACATTAATGCAGGCTTATGCTTCTGTACCTTGGTTCATTCATGAGTGTTTTTTTTAACCTGAAAAATACTTCTTTCCCTTAAGTTCATTCACTTTTTGGTCTCATTTATCTAACCCCACCAGTTCAGAATCACTGCCTCCCTCTTTTGCACTTATCTCACACTCAGCCTCCATTTCTACACTGGCACTTAATCTCCTGTTTCGATGACTCCTGCTGAATGCTGAGCTCTTTGAGCCCAGCTTCCTTCCCTTACTCATCTTTGTCACCCTACAACTGCTACAATGGCTCACCCATAGTAGAGACAACCTAAATGTTTGTTCAAACAAAAATTAAAACGTGAACTCGATTTTAAGTCACATATAGGCAAAATAGTATATATAGTTTTGACTACAGAAATAATCATTTCAACTACATAAGCTTTTTCTTTTTTTGGAAATAAAATTTACCTACAGTGAAATTCACCTTAAGTGCGTAACTTAATCAGTTTCGATAAATGTACATGCTTAGGTAACCAATACTCCAGTGAAGATATAACATTTCCATAACTCCAGAAATTTCCCTTATCTTTCCTTCCAGAAATCCCTACCTCCCTTTGACAACCACTGCTTTGATTTCTATCACCACAGACTATGCCATTATGTTTTTATTCATGATTTTGTTTGATATTTTGTTGGATATTGTAATTGCTTCCACTTTTTTACTATTAGGAACAAAGCTGCTATAGATATGCTTGTACAGGTGCTTGTGAACATGTTTTCATTTCTCTGGGTATAATATTACTAAGAGTGAAATTGCTGGCACACAGGGTAAAAGTATATTTAACTTTATAAGAAACTGCCAGATTTCCAAAGTGGTTGTACTATTTGCACTCCATTTTCTTTTTTTTTTTCTTTGAGATTAAGTTTCACTCTTGTTGCCCACCTTGGAGTGCAATGGTGTGATCTTGGCTCACCACAACCTTTGCCTCCCGGGTTCAAGCAATTCTACCTCAGGCTCCGCATAGCTGGGATTACAGGCACGCGCCACCATGCCTGGCTAATTTTGTATTTTTAGTAGAGACAGGCTTTCTCTATGTTGGTGAGGCTGGTCTCAAACTACCGACCTCGGGTGATCCACCCACCTCGGCCTCCCAAAGTGCTGGGATTACAGGCATGAGCCACCACACCCAACCCATCAATATGTTCTTGTTCCATGTTGTTGATTATAGTGTTCTATAACTGTCAACAAAGTCGAGGTTATGACACTATTCAGATCATCTTTGTTTTTATTGATTTTCTGCCAAATTGTTCTATCATTACTGAGAAAAGGGTATTAAAACCTCTAACTATAATTGTGAATTTGTCTATTTCTCCCTTTCAGCTGTCAGATTTTGCTTTATGTATTTTAAAGAACTATTATTAGGTCCATATACACTTAGGATTATCCTCTCTTCCTAATGAATTTACCCTCTAACATTATAAAATGTCCCCTTTGTCTCTGGTAATGCTCCTTGTCTTACATTCTACTTTGTCTGATATGAATATAGCTAGAGTGATTTTCTTATGTCGACTGTTTACAGGATGCATCTTTTTTCATTCTTTTATTTTCAACCTATTCTTATCTTTATATTTAAAGTGCATATCTTTTAGACGATATATATTTGGGTCTTGGCTTTTTATCCAGTCTGACAATCTCTGATGCTTAATTGGAGTGTTTAGCCCCACTGACATTTAGTATAACCACTGATATGGCTGGGTGTGAATCTACCATCCTGCTATTCATTTTTGTCCCTCCCATCTATTCTTGTCCTTTTCTTCCTTTTACTGTTTCTGAGTAAATTTTTTTTAAAATTCCATTTAATTCTTCTATTTTTTTAGCTATACCTTTTATTAGAAATTTTTGAAACCGTTGCTAAGTTACAACATAATAACCTCATGATAGTCAATTTACACTGAGCATCACTTTTGTGCCTTTGTTGTCACATATTTTACATATACAATAAATTCCATAATACAATTTTTTTCCTTAAGTGGTCAGTTATTGTTCAAAAAAATTAAGAGGGAAAATGGCAGTTTTTTATATTTACCCAAATATTTACTATTTCCAGTACACTTAACTTCTTCTTACAGGTTTGATTTTCCAGCTAGAATTTTACCTCTTCAACTTGCAGAATTTCCTTTAGCATTCCTTATGATACAGGTCTACTTGTGATGAAAAATGCCTTTATTCTATCTTCATTTTTGGGAGATCATTTAGCTAGACACAGAACTCTGGATTGACAGGTTTTTAAATATTTGCTTGTTTCTCCCTTTCCTAGTATTTGAAAGATATTGCTCCATTGTTGTCTGGCTTCCACTGTTTGTGATATGAAGTCAGCTGTCACTAATACTGTTGTTCCTCTGTATATATTTTATTTCCCTCCAGCTATTTTAATTTTTTTTTTCTTTTCCTTTTTCAGCAGTTTGACTAAGATACAATCTCTGTATTTATTCAGCTTAGGTCTTGCTGAGTTTTTTGGATCTGTAAGTTGGTATTTTAAAATAAAATCAGAGAAAATTCAGCTCAAAAGTAGAAACAAAGCAGATGTCCATCAACTGATGAATGCGTAAATAAAATGTGCTATATCCATACAATGAAATCTTGACAATAAACAGGAATGAAGTACTGATACGTGCTACAACATGGGTCAACTTTGAAAACATGTAAGTGAAAGAAACCAGGCCAGGTGTGGTAGCTCATGCCTGTAATCCAAGCACTTTGGGAGGCTGTGGCAGGTAGGTTGCTTGAGGTCAGTAGTCCAAGACCAGTGTAGCCAACACGGTGAAACCTTGTCTCTACTAAAAATACAGAAATTAGCTGGGTGTGATGGTACACACTTGCAGTTGCAGCTACTCGGGAGGCTGAGGCATGAGAATCACTTGAACTCAGGAGACAGAGGTTAGAGTGAGCTGAGATTACACCACTGCACTCCAGCTTGGATGACAGAGTAAGACTCTGTCTCAAACAATAAAAGAAAGAAACCAATCACAAAAGACCACATGTGTATGATTCTATATGAAATGTCTCAATACATAAAATCTACAGAAACAAAGTAGATTAATGCTTGCCTAGGGCTAGTACGGATGGTAAAATACAGGGTGACTGATAATAACTGTGGAGTTTCTTTTTAGAATGATGAAAATGTTCTAAGATTGATTGTGGAGATGGCTGCATAACTCTGTTAATAGGCTGGAAGCCACTGAAACGCACATTCTAAGTGGGTGAATTGTATGGTATGTGAATATGTGAATAAGGTTGATATCAAGAAAAAAACAAACGCCAGAGCTACTTCTTTTTTAAGATACAGGGTTTTGTTCTGTCATCTAGACTGGAGTACAGCAGCACAATCATAGCTCATTGTAGCCTCAAACTTCCAGTCTCAAGTGATCCTCCCACCTTGACTTCCCAAAATGCTAGGATTATAGGTGTGAACAACTGTGCCCAGCCAAGGCCAGATCTCCTAACTCAAAATTATAGGTTTTTAATAAAATGCTTAATATTTTACAAACTCCTTTCATATTTATGGTTTTAAATTTTACTTATTGAAATTTGTTAAATGAATTTTAATTGCCCCATGTTTTGCTTCGGATGCTTTCAATTAACATGACAATAGAATAACAAAATATCATGTAGAGATACACTTGAATTTTAAAATGACACCTAACTAAATCCTTTTAATATGTATAAGGAAGTCACCAAAGTAGTAGTCGTTTTCTTTTAAAAATGAATTTATAGCTAACACCTATTTTATATAGATTATCTCGTGATTTTTTGGTGGAATTATCCTCATTTTTCAGATCAGTAAATGAGGCTTAAAGAGTAATATATTTATATACTCTTTTTTTTTTTTTTTTTTTTTGAGATGGAGTCTCGCTCTATCACCTAGGCTGGAGTGCAGTGGCATGATCTTGGCTCACTGCAACCTCTGCCTCCTGGGTTTAAGCAATTCTCCTGCCTCAGCCTTCTGAGTAGCTGGGATTGCAGGCATGTACCACCATGCCCAGCTCATTTTTGTATTTTTGGTAGAGATGGGGTTTCACCATGTTGATCAGGTTGGTTTCAAACTCCTGACCTCGTGATCCACCTGCCTCAGCCTCCCAAAGTGCTGGGATTGCAGGCATGAGCCATTGTGCCTGGCCTATACTCTTTGACCAAGATAACACATAGTTCACTTACCCAGGAATTTTAATTCTAAATATAGTATTATTCTCTACTATACCAAAAGGACTGATTCTCTCTCTTCCTTTTTTCTTGACTCTTTTTTTTCCTAGTGTAGAATCTCTTGCCCCCTTTTTCATTGACACATTAAACACAGAGGGCAGAGGAAAAGCAGAAGTATAATCATTTTCTTTTTTTTAGAGATGCAGTCTTGCTATGTTGCCAGGCTAGTCTCAAACTCTTGACCTCAAGCTATCCTCCTGCCTCAGACACTATGCCTAGCTATTTATTTAACTCTTATTTCTGAAGGAATGGAGTTTGGAGCAGGGCCATAAAACAATACTCCATTATCCTGTAGGGACACATTTATAGCACTGTTTTCTCCAAATAATTCTAGGTTACTCCATTTAGATAAAGCAACTTCTGCACAGAAAATAACTTTTCTTGTTTTTCAAAAAAAAGTTGAGAGAGTCTCGCTCTGTCAGTCAGGCTAGAGTACAGTGGCATGATCTCAGCTCACTGAACCTCCACCTCCTGGGTTCAAGCAATTCCCATGCCTCGGCCTCTGAGTAGCTGGGACTACGGGTGTGCACTACCACATCTGGCTAATTTTTTCGTATTTTTAGTAGAGACGGAGTTTCGCCAAGTTGGCCAGACTGGTCTCAAACTCCTGACCTCAACTGATCTGCCCACCTCAGCCTCCCAAAGTGCTGGGATTATAGGTGTGAGCCACTGTGCCTGGCCAGAAAATAACTTTCAGTGTCTATAATATACAGTCTAATTATATTTTCTGGAACTGCATATGGATTAAAAGTCCCCAATGTACTCTGTTCAGTTACCAGGATGGTAACTGCTTTTATTTCATATGTTTTTCTGCACTAAGAGTTTTTGTCTCATCTAAAAAATATTATGTCCTTATTCATTAAAATGCACTGACAGAGCCTAAAATATTAATTGCGATATATGATAGCTAATCCTAATGTTCTATAAACATAAAAACACACTCACTTGAGAGAAAGATCACCAAGTTACTACACGGTAAATTGATTTTGCCTTGGAAAACTAATCTATTGGCTGGGTGCGGTGGCTCACGCCTATAATCCCAGCACTTTGGGAGGCCGAGGCGGGCAGATAACGAGGTCAAGAGATCGAGACCATCCTGGCCAACATGGTGAAACCCCGTCTCTACTAAAAAAATACAAAAATTAGCTGGATGTGGTGGTGCGTGCCTGTACTCCCAGCTACTTGGGAGGCTGAGGCAGGAGAATTGCTTGAACCTGGGAGATGGAGGTTACAGCAAGCCGAGATCGCGCCACTGCACTCCAGCTTGGTGACAGAGCGAGACTCTGTCTCAAAAAAAAAAGAAAACAAAAACGAATCTATCTCCAATCAGAATCCAGGAGTGTTTCTGGAAAGCCCTCTATTTCTGGCAAAAAACTTAAGGCAAATCTCCATAGTTCTGTATTTCCTTAAAGCAGTTCCCATATTAATTTTTCTACTCCAAGTCAGAGTAGGATAGTAACTACTACCTAAATTTCAGGAAGTAAACAACTAAGAAGAAGAAAGAAGAGACACAGGCAAAAAGCAGGTATTGTATTTTTGATACAAACTAAGTTTGAGTTAACCTAGTGTAGCACAAAGATCCCTGAAGTACAAGTTAGAAGACATTAAGTGTCAGTTGATTCTGCCACTTGCTTATCTGTGTAATTTTGAGCAAGTCATTTTTATTTTGAGCAGGTCATCTGATCATTTTTATTTTTTGAGACGGAGTTTCACTCTGTCACCCAGGCTGGAGTGCAGTGGTGCGATCTTGGCTCACTGCATCCTCCGCCTCCCAGGTTCAGGTGATTCTCCTGCTTCAGCCTCCTGAGTAGCTGGGATTATAGACACACACCACCATATCCTGCTAAGTTTTATATTTTTTAGTAGAGACGGGGTTTACCATGTTGGTCAGGCTGGTCTCGAACTCCTGACCTTGTGATCCACCCACCTCAGCCTCCCAAAGTGCTAAGATGACAGGCGTAAGCCACCACGCCCGGCCCTGATCATTCTTTTCTTCATCTTTACAATGGAGTTGTAAATACTTTTTTGTGCTTCTTATTCCCCAAGATTACTGTGAGGGTCAACTGACATACTATCTATGAAATTATAAAGCCCTACATGCAAAAGTATAGTAATATATGCATATAAACGTGTTTTTGTGTGTGTGTGTGTGTGTGTGTGTGTGTGTGTGTGTGTGCGTGTGTAGACTATGATTACTTTCCAATATTAGTCCAGTTTGACTCACAGAAATAGTCTCTGACTTCCAGGAATTCACAGTCCAGAGAAGGAATAAACAGTAAAAGTAAACAATACAATAAAGGAAAAAGTAAGGCAACAGAGGTATATACCAAATGTTATTGGAGCCCAGCAGATAGATGAATCCTATCTGAGCAGAAAAGTCAGTTGTCATAAAGATTACAACTAGGCTTCAAGGAAGAGGCTGAGTTGCTAGAATTTCATCCAGATACGTGGGCTTCAAGATATATAAAGAATCATGAAACCTCTGTTACAACTGGTTCTGCCTTCAATAATTAAAAGTAGTACTTAACCTCCTTTTTTTTTTTTTTTTTTGAGACGGAGTTTCACTCTTGTTACCCAGGCTGGAGTGCAATGGCGCGATCTCGGCTCACTGCAACCTCCGCCTCCTGCGTTCAGGCAATTCTCCTGCCTCAACCTCCTCAGTAGCTGGGATTACAGGCACGCGCCACCATGCCCAGCTAATGTTTTTTTTTTTTTTTTTGTATTTTTAGTAGAGACGGGGTTTCACCATGTTGACCAGGATGGTCTCGATCTCTTGACCTCGTGATCCACCCGCCTCGGCCTCCCAAAGTGCTGGGATTACAGGCTTGAGCCACCGCGCCCGGCCGTACTTAACCTCTTTAGACCTCTCTTACCACAAGTCTAAAATAAAGGGTTTTGGCAAAATAAACCTATAAGTCCCTCTAGCCCTAAAATCAGGTGGTTCTAGGAGTCAAACTCTAGTCATTGTACGTATACCAAGAAAGGGTTCAAGAAAGTAATAAGCCCGAACTATTAAAAAAGGAGTTCTCCCATTAACTGCTTTTTCTTGGAATTAGAAGTCTAAAAACAATATTTAGAAAAATATCTACCTAGAAAAAGCTCTAGCACAGTGAAGAGAAGAAATTGGAAGGCTATCAAAAAGGGGAGAAGCAAACAATACATGATAGCAGGGAATGAAGTATTCAGTTCTGCAAAGATGTTACTTAGACCAGTAAGGAAATAGGTAGTAAACAGGAAGTTACAATATTTACATTCTTATTCCAAGAAAAACCTGGAGTAAAACCATAAACAGACCTTAAAATTCATACTTCCATAAAATGAAGTTGTTGTGTTTTTGCCTTGGTAAACCACTTCTAAAAAAACCTATTTGTATAAAGAGTTCAGTTTAGGAATTATAAAGAAAAGAATCAAAAACCTAAATATACACAAGTGAATTAGTTTCAGAAATGGTACCAAAAGTGCATATCAGGTAATCCACCAAACATTTACTAAACTCTGTTTAATAGGGCAAGCTGTTATAAAACACAGTCCAAATACCCAAGGGATTCACTGACTTAAGATGGAAAACAACAAGCTATAGTAACTCTTACCCATCAATGATATTTTCAGGTGGGTGTTTTTCATCACTTGATGTAGCTAAAATCACTTCGGACCCTTCAGAGCTCAGACAGAGTTCAGTTTTTCTCATCTTAAAGTGTTTAACCTGCAAATTAAAAAATAACAAAAAAAAGCAACTTCTTGATTCTCTAAACTTTATCTGAGAAAACCAAGTGAGAAGGAAAGGCTGTTGCCTAGCAGATAGTTTAACACCCAAGCTATTTAACATGTAGGAGAGACTCTAATATGTTTGTTTACATAAGAAAGCTCTCCCAGGGATAATCTATAAGACGTGACTATTTCTGCTACTCTGCTCCACAAAATAAATCCCTGACTACCCTAACCAAACAAAAAAACAAAACACTGAGATACAGGAAGAAGGTCAACAGAGGAGAACAACATGGAATACCATAAAAATACTCGATGAATCCGAAAGAAGGCAGAAAAAGAGAAACAAAGGAAGAAAAATGAGACAAACAGAAAACAAATAGCAAGAACACAGATTTAAGCAAAAATACATCAATTACTCCATTAAGTGTTAATAAACTAAACACTCAATTATTAGATTAAATTAAAAAAAAAAACCCAACAACTAAATACTGTTTTCCAGAGACACATTCTAAATATAAAGATCAGACTAAAAGCAAAATGATAGAAGAGGGTATAAACTGTTAACATCTGGTAAGGTAAATTTCCCTACTTAAATTTTTAAATTTTTTTCATTATTTTACTTTTTTAGAGACAGAGTCTCACTGTCACCAAGGCTGGTTTGCACTGGAGCAATCATGGCTCACTGCAGCCCTGAACTCTAGGGCTCAAGTGATCCTCCTATCTTAGCCTCCCAAGCAGCTGGGACTACAGGTATGCCACGATACTCGGCTAATTTTTAAAAAAATTTCTGTAGAGGCCGAGGGGGACAGATAATGAGGTCAAGAGATTGAGACCATCCTGGCCAACATGGTGAAACCTCATCTCTACTAAAAATACAAACATTAGCTGGGCGTGGTGGTGTACACCTGTAATCCCAGCTACTGGGGAGGGTGAGGCAGAAGAATCACTTGAACCCAGGAGGCAGAGGTTGCAGTGAGCTGAGACCATGCCACTGCACTCCAGCCTGGCAACAGAGAGAGACTATGTCTCTAAAAAAAAAAAAAAAAATCTGTAGAGATGGGGTCTTGCTATGCTGCACAGGCCAGTTTTAAAACTCCTGGCCTCAAGTGATCCTCCTGCCTCAACCTTTGAAAGTGCTGGGATTAAAGGCATGTACCACTGTGCCTGGCCAATATCAGTATTTTATTAAAATGCATTTATTCTTAGTTTTTATTAGCATAAAGTTTACTTTCTATTATACTTTAAAAACTAATATTGATAGTATTAAAAATGTGGTAACATTAGTAAGAAAAAACACATATATTCTAAATCTTTTTGTGCCTGTTTTCTCTACCAATCTTATCACAGCTTTTAACACTATTGATACCAGAGAACTGGGCAGTGTGGGATGAACACTGTCAACCCTTAGTTTTTTGTTTTTTGGTTTTTTTTGAGACGGAGTTTCACTCTTGTTACCCAGGCTGGAGTGCAATGGCACAATCTCGGCTCACTGCAACCTCCGCCTCCGGGGTTCAGGCAATTCTGCCTCAACCTCCTGAGTAGCTGGGATTACAGGCACGCGCCACCACGCCCAGCTAATGTTTTGTATTTTTAGTAGAGACGGGGTTTCACCATGTTGACCAGGATGGTCTCGATCTCCTGACCTCGTGATCCACCCGCCTCGGCCTCCCAAAGTGCTGGGATTACAGGCTTGAGCCACCGCACCCGGCAACCCTTAGTTTTAAGATGAGAAAGACAGTGAATTCTATAAATGCAGAGTGATAAACTTGGATGCTAATTCTCAACAAAACCCTACAATTATTAAATTTCATTATTAAAATGGTGGCCTTGAAAATGTAAACAACGAAGTACTAAAATTGGAAGTAGGAGTAACATTAGTTTACAGGCTATATCAAAACTATACATTTCTGTTTGTCTGATGGAGTTCCTACCCATTTGGAGCATGTTCTAAACATTTCAACAAAGCTTCAGACAAAGCCTCGCAAGATACCCTGTGGACCTGACAGAGAAACATGAATTGGGTGACAGGTAGTACTCAAAAGAATGATGATTAATGGAAGAAAACAAATTTGTGGAGGACTTGATTTCCTACTTAACATTTTTATTAATTAAGATGTACAAAGTATGCTTATCAATTTAGCAGACACAAAGCTGGGATGTCAGCTGATATGCTGGGTGACAGAATTAGCATTCAAAAAAACTGAGCAAGCTAGAAAGATGGCTTGCAATGAGTAAGATATTTAATAAGGATAAAAGTAAAAGCCTATACTCAGTCTTGAAAAAACTCAATCATACGAGGGCTGGTCTAAATCAGGAGTTAGCAAACTACTGCCTGTGAGCCAAATCAAGCCTGCCATCTGTTTTTGTATGGCCCACAAGCTAAAAATGTGTTTTAACATTTAATAATATTTTTTAAAAATTAAAATATTCTGACACATAAAAATTACATGAAATTCAGATTTTAATATTCATGCATTATATTGGAAAGTAGCTATGCTCATTTGCTTATAATATTGTCTATGGCTGATTATATGTTACAGTGACATAGCTGAGTCACCATGACAGACTATAAGGCCCATAAAACCGAAAATATTTACTATTTGGCCTTTAACAAAAAAGTTTGCCAACCTCTGATATAGATGTATAAAACATACAGGTTTAGTTATCACAAAGTCAATATAAGGTAACAGTGTACTCTACCTGCCCCTAAAGGTAATAGAATGCTATCTTAAAGAGGTACCACATTCCATCAACATTTTTGAACACCAATTGAACTAAGGGCCAAGTACTGTGCTAGTATTGCAAAGATGAAACAACCTAAGTGACTAAGACTTTGTTCTTGCCTTCAAGCTCAGAGTCAAGGAATTAGTCAAGGAACAAGCGTGCAACTAACAATATAATATACCATGTGCTAACATAGTATGATGCACATCCAGAATACTGTTTTCGGTTCTGAGTAGTACGTTTTAAGCAGGACATTGTCAGGCTTGATATTGTTGAGAGGACAGTAGAAAGTTCATGATCATAGAGAAAGGTGAAAAATATAAATGTGATTATGATTTTTACTCAGCGGTGCTCACAAGTGGAAAAAGAATTTTTTTTTTTTTTTTACACTTCCAGGAGTGTGAATTGGACTCAGCAAATGCACATTTTAAGCAGGAAGACATTGGAGAGATAAGGATTTTCTTGCAAAGGAAAGATTTTAAATTTCTTTCATCCCTGAAAATGTCCAAGAAGAGTCAATAAAAGATCATAATCTGTGGAGGAAGCCAAAGAAAGGATTCCTGCATTGGCAGTTCTCTTAGGCTAAGCCAAATTCTAGGAAAGGTGGGTTGGGAATAGATAATGAAATATCTGAAAAGCCAGGTTAATGGCAATGGACTTTATTCTGTACTCCAGTGGTTCTAAACTGGACTAGGAGTAGATTTTGGCCTCCAAGGACACTTCACAAAACCTGAAGAGTTTTAGGGTCACAACTTGGGAGGGAAAATGCTGCTAAATATACTGCCACGTATAGGACAGCACCCCACAAGTAATTATTGGTCCCAAGTATAAATAGAGTCAAGCTGGGGAAACCAAGCAGTACTCTATGGCCCAGGCTGGAGTGCAATGACACAATCTTGGCTCACAGTAACCTCTGCTTCCCGGGCTCAAGCGATCCTCCCACCTCAGCCTTCCTAGCAGCTGGGACTATAGGCAGGGACCACCATGCCCAGCTAATATTTTTGTTTTGTAGAAACGGGTTATGCCATGTTTCCAGACTGGTCTCTAACTCGTGAGCTCAAGTTATCTACCTGCCTTGGTCTCCCAAACTGCTGGGATTACAGGAGCAAGGTCACTGCACCCAGCCGAGAACCTGGTTTTTTTTTTTTTTTTTTTTGAGACGGAGTCTCACTCTGTCGCCAGGCTGGAATGCAGTGGCGCAATCTCGGCTCACTGCAACCTCCACCTTCCGGATTCAAGTGATTCTCCTGCCTCGGCCTCCAGAGTAACTGAGTGTGCAGGCGCGTGCCACCACGCCCGGCTAATTTTTGTATTTTTTGTACAGACGGGGTTTCACCATGTTGACCTCGTGATCTGCCCACCTCTGCCTTCCAAAGTGTTGGGATTACAGGTGTGAGCCACTGTACCGCGCCAAACTTGTTTTCTAAAAAGTGTTAACACTTCAGGGTTGATACGGAGCAGATGAATAGGAAAGAATGTACTCTCCAAATGTTCAGGTCTTTTCTTACCTCACATTCTTAATTATCTAAGTTTTCTGAGAGAGGCAAACACATGCTTTAATACAAAACTCATTTCATACCTTCTATATCTTCCTATTTCCTGTTTTGGGTAGAATTACTTAAGTAGAAACGGCAGACACTGGGTTTTCTTTAAGGTTCTTTTGTTGCACTTAATGAAAAGAGGCAAACCAACGTTAGAGAAATCCATACAATGCCAGGTGCTGTGGTTCACGCCCATAATCCTGGCAGTTTGGGAGGCTGAGGTGGGCGGATCTCTGGAGCTCACAAGTTTGAGACCAGCCTGGGCAACATGTTGAAATCCCTGAACTCTCTCTACTAAAAATACAAAAATTAGCTGGGTCTGGTGGCAGGCGCCTGTAATCCCAGTACTCTGGGAGGCAGAAGCGGGCGGATCACTTGAGGCCAGCAGCTCAAGACCAGCCTGACCAACATGGTGAAACCTTGTCTCTACTAAAAATATAAAAATTAGACGGGTATGGTGGCAGGAGTCTGTAATCCCAGCCGCTTGGGAGAAAGAGGCAGGATAATCGATTGAACCCAGGAGACAGAGGTTCAGTGAGCCGAGATCGCGTCATTGCACTCTGGCCTGGGCGACAGAGCGACTGAAAAAAAAGAAAAGTGCAAGTCTGGGAGGGAGTCTAATCCTCCACACCTTTAGAACAAGGCAATTTCCTCAGGGCTGCAGTTTACCAAAGGCGGTACACTCTAGGGTGCTATCCTTTCCATTTTTTACAATCCCTGACCCTGGACTTCCCTGATGCCTTATCCTGTCTTCTAAACCAGGGCCACTGGTTTCATCCCCAGTTCAGCCTTTCATCGCCAACTCACATGCCCTTTGTGGTCCTTCTTTCCCCAAATCTCTCCAGGTCAAGTCCTCAGAGGACCTTCTCCTTGACCAGCGTCTTGCTTCTGGTGCTACAGCTGAACTCCTCACACCCTTTGCCAAGCATCATCCATTGGGAACTTGGCGTACTTTAGAAAACACGGACCCTGCCTATGTCTTCTGACTCCGCGGGGCCAGGGCCAGGGCCAAGGCCTTCAAGACAAACCAGCCCTGGCACCACCTTCTCACCTCCACCCAAAACCCTCCTCCTCAGTCCAAGGTCCGGGGGAGATCTTCGAGGGCCCTAAGGCCTTGACTTGCGGATGCCCCGCCCCAAATAATGTAAAGAATATATTAATAAATACCCCCAACCTTAGGTATAACTCATAGCTAGAGGGGTTACGTTGCAGCTGACCGCTTACATTTTGGTAGACTAATCAATTTCGATTTGCAACTGGTTTTCCCTTTTGGTCAAGACGCTATTTCTGGCCCCAAAGAGCTTCGTGGGATAGCACCGGCGACTCCAGGGCCTACAGGAGACGGCCGGTCCGCGTCACACCTCCCGCGACGGCCCGTCTGCGCCTCCCGCCGCGCGTCTTCACCACCCCTCCATTCTTGCTCCCTTCCCAACAGCAACCCCTTCCTTCTGCCTTGCCCAGCCAGGCCCCACACCCGCTGGTGCCAGCCCGCTCGCCCCGCAACCCGCTCGCCTGCGACTCCAGTTAGCTCCGGGTGCCAGGCCTTCCGGGCTCGAAACCTCCCTTGCTCCCCGCCCCACGCAGCGCCTCCCGGCCCCGCGGCTCCGCCCCTCTCCCGTGGCGTCCTCGCAGTCCCGGGGCGCGGGCGTCCAACTCCGACCTCTTCGCACCACGCCTCCCACAGGCCCCGCCCCCTCACCACGGCCTCAGCGGAGTTCGCGGGTGCGCTCGCTCCCACCCGAAGCTCTTCGCGCCACGCCTCCCACAGGCCCCGCCCCGCCCTCAGCCCCTCCCCCTCGCCGCGGCCCGGCGGAGTTCCAGGGCGCGCCCGTTTCTACCCCGAGCTCTTCGCGCCACGCCTCCCACAGGCTCCGCCCCCCCTCGGCCCCGCCCTCTCTGGCTCCTTTTACTTCGCGGGCCAAGAGGCGCAACCTCGCCCGAGAGCCTTTCCCCAGGCCAGTCCCAGAGCGCGCTCTGCCTACCCTCCCTCAGCTCAACTCTATCCCCGGGGCCCACGAGACCCAGGGGAGTCGCCCTCCCATGAGTACGCACGCCCAGTGCCCACCTCTGCCAGCTCCGCACCCTCGGCCCTCGGGTCGCCAGCCCGGGGCTCGGCCCCGCCTCCAGGCCCGGCCCCGCCTTCATGCCGGGGTCCGCGCACGCGCGTCTCCCTGTCCTAGCCTTGCCTCCGCCCCCGCCGGTCCCGCGGTCCCACGGCGCTTGGTTGCCCCCAGCCTTCTCCCTCTTCTCAACCTCGCCGTGTCCCACCCTCCCTAGCTTTGTGCCTGGGGTGCTGAGGTCTTCCCCGTCAGCCGCGCCGCGGGAGGAGGGAGCCGCCACCGAGGAGCTGCCGCTCGCTGCCCCGGGGAGGGGCACAGGTAGGTGGCGGCCGCGGGCCGGACGGCTCGCGGGGCCCCGGGCGGCGTGCGGGAGCGGGGGGCGGGGTGTTAGGGAGGGGAGGGGTGGGGGAGGGGAAGCCCGGGAGGGACGGCAGGGGGCGGGTTGAGGAGAGAATGAGGATATACGGGTGTGGGCGATGGGTTTAAGGGTTGGGTAGGGGTGCGGGGGCAGTATGAGAATTGGGGTTCGGGAGCAGGGTGGGACAGGGAACAGGATTACCCTTGGGTGGACTCTGGGAAAGGTATGGGTGGGAGAGAGCGGGACAAAGGATTGCCGTCCTGGGGAAGGGGGAAAGGGAATGGGATTTTAGGGGTGCAGGGAGGAAAAGATAGGAATAGAGGAGAGGGTGGGGTCTTGGGGGCAGGGGAGAAAAGTTGGGGGTGTGGAATGCGAAGCTGGGGGTAGTGAGGCGTGATGGAAGGGGGTCTCGAAGATTGAGAACAGAAGGCAAGGAAAGGGATGGAGAGCTTGGAGTCCTAGGAGAGGGAAGCCCGTAGAGTGGGAAGAAGGGAAGAATAGATGCAGAAGGAGAGGAGTGGGGGTGGAGGAGTGTGGGGAAGGGAAGAGAGGCAGGTGAAGGTTGGGAGATGGGAGGTTGGAAGGTTGGGTCTGTGGGACAGCAAGCCACCTTTCAGCGGGAGCAGGAAGGGTTGGAAGGGTCTAAGGGTTGAGGAGGGCGGGGGAGCTGGGGTGGGGGAAGGGAGTAGGGTTAGGATTTTTGGTGTTAGAGGCGCTATTTGCTAAGAGTGTCACGATGTGGGAGAGATTGGCAGGTTCTTGGTGGGGAATAGGGAGTCTGGGAGAGGAAAGGGGATGGGTGAGAAGGCAGGTAGAGAAGTGCATATTATAGGAAAAAAGTAGTGAGGAAAGTTGAAAATTGAAGAATGGGAACACACAGAACAATGAAGGTGGATTGTTGGTTATTGGTAGTTTAGAACTACCCATAGTTTAGTTTCTGCTTAGGTTTTTATGTTAGAAATTTTCTCAAGAATACTGCATTTTCAGATAAAGCAAAAGTGTCTGCAGCCTTGGGATGAAGGCCATGGGTTGGCAGATGTTTTCTTGGTATATGGATGTAGCTCATATCGCGCCTGGCAGAGGAAAGAAGGGAGGCCTTCTGGCTGTCCTGGCTCTGTTCCCACCAGCTCTTTCCTCAGATGTGCACTGTTGTTTTTTTTTTTTAAATCTTATCCCTGCCCCCTTCCCCCTCCTCCCAGGCTTCAATCAGTGAATACTAGAGGGATCAAACAGGTGGATGAGATTAATTTTTAACGTTTTTTTATCCTTAAGGCTGATGTCATATTTTTATTCTTGAGAAACAGCATCATGCCAAGGAAAGAGCTTGAGCTTTGGAGTAATGCGGCCCTGAGATTGAATTCTGGCCCTGCCACTTATTAGCTCTGTTCTAGAGTAAGTTATTTTATTTCCGTGGGTCTCTGTCTATTAAAAGGCAATACTGACCTCATAGGATCATTAAAGATTACATGAGATCACTTTATATAGTACCTAACGCAGTGCTTGGCAACTGGTGGGTGCTTAATAAATGGTAGCCATCACCCAGTACCATTAAACGTCAGAGTCATTACCATAACTTACTATTCTTAGGGGATTTTTATCTTACTTTACCTACTGAAGTTAGGTGTTTTCTTCTTTTTCTCCTCAAATTAGCCATAGATTCAGCTCACAATTTTACCCTGTGGGCTCCCCAACAACCCCAGTCCACCTGACTGGGATAGTCATGCTTTTTGCTTGGGAAACTGGATTCAAGGTCTAAAAAACTGTCATGTGTAGTATCAATTTTATCTGGCCTCTTTCAAGGAAGCTGTGTAGAACTGAGTTTTTAATGTAATACAGCTATGTTTCATTCATTTGATGAAATGGTACACTTCATGGTAACTTTGGCTCACTTGTGAACAAATGCTAGAATGTGCACGATTGTAATATTTTTCTATGCTGTCGTTTGGGTTACAAAGCTGCCTCTCTGTAGCAGGCTGGGCGACTATCAGAATGTCGGTGTTACTCTTGATCCAACATATAATACAGCTACTGCAATTTACACTGGACATTGTTGTTGCTGCAGTGACTAAGTATTTTAGTTTTTCTATTTGGATGAGGTTTTTGCCGCAATTTAGAACAGGCCTTGTCCATTTGTAATACACCACGCTGTACGATAGCAAGTGGCAAATGAATCCAAGTACTGAAGTTTTGTGTAGAATTCTCGTGCCTTTCTGGTTCTTAGCCTTAAAGGGTTCAAATATTAATTTAATGCTTAGATCATGTTATAGTACCTCACAGACTCCCAAAAAGCTCCTTTTTGGGAGAATGCAGGATGTGCTGATTTAGTAGTACAAATTAAAGGCCACCAGGATTCCCTGAACCAAAGTCAATTTCTCCAGTGGCTTCTGGACAGATGATGTGGGTTTGCTCTCCAGGAAATAATTATATTTATTTTTTCCTCATTTAGAAAGAGAAATGGCATTTGATAATTTAAGAAAAATATAAAAAACAGCCAGTACTGTACCTTTTTAAAATAAATGATCACTGGAAGCCAAAGCTGCCAGGATTTTGAAGAGCCTGGGTTTGGGCCCTTAATCTGGCCCAAACCTTCTTGTGCCCTATGTTGGATGGAATCAGACTTCTAATTTTCATCTGAAGTGGTCACCCACCCATCCATTCATCCATCCATTTGTCCACTTTACTGCAGAGTTTGTGGAAGGCACTATTAGGGGTGAGGGTTGGGGTAATACAGATGGGCAGACCCTGTTTCATTGTTCAGGGAGTTCACAGTATATTGATCCACTATAATAGGGTATCTTCCATAGAATTTGTCTTCTTGTTGTTAAAATCACGTCAGTCCTTTTTAGGGACATCCCTAATGTCTCCTTTCTGATCTACAGGTAGAGTAGAGCTCTGAATGTTAAATGACAGGGATAAAGACCAAAGGACATCTGCTTTACTTCCTCAATCAGAATTAATGTCTGCAAGGTTGGAGAGTCCAGATGCTCACCCCTACTGGAAGAAGAGCTCAGAATAAATGAGGCTTCTCCTTAGCAGCAGGCACTGTAAATGCTGGCAAGAGAAAACTATGGGTTATAAGAGCTGGCACTGTGACAGGATTTTCCCCCCTGTTTTTTAGTTTAGTTGTCGCCCACCCCTTGTAGTACCAGTAGCAATACACTGCCATCGTCTGCTTTGCCTCTGCCACCTGCAGAAGAGTCTGGCGAGTGGGGGAGGAGCCTGCAGCTGTTGCCTGGAAAAGGAGCTGGCTCCTAGCAACAGTATCAGCGGGCCCTGCAAGTCAGAGCACTAAGTTTATCCTTTGAGGTCTTACCTTTCCTCTCATACAGTTCATCAAATATCTTTTGAGGGCTTACATAGTACTAGGCACTGTGTGGGGCCTGGGAAAGGTAGATGAACCAAATAAGTGCCTTGCCTTCACAAAGCTCACCACGCTGGGTACATTAACAAGTGAACATAGTACATGGCCCTAAGTGCTATGTAGGAGACACTGGGTGCTCTGGGAAAACCAGACAGGCATGTACTTGTGCGTCATCCCGCAAGAGGGACGATGTTAATAATGAGTGGGAATTAGCTGGGTCAGGGAGGCAAAGAAGGATGTTCCAACTAAAGGGAACAGAACGGGCAATGGCCAGTGGGACATAAGAGCGTGGCCAGTTTACCTGGGTAATATGACAGGAGCAAAGAGTAGTACGTAGGAGATGAGCAGGAAAGGGTGAAGCTCTAGAGCTAGGCAGAGTGCTCTTCTCTCGTGCTTTTAGACACATAATTATCCTTGAGAGAAACATGGATAGTACTGATTCCCACAAACAGGATCATTGTTTCATCTCCGGAGACTCAGCATTTTTGGTCACTGAGTTGTTTGCTGACACTTATAAGTGGCTTTAGGGCCACATTGTGGCCCTGCATTGATGCAGAAGAAGCTGAGTTGGTTCACTCTAAAACTCAGATTATTTTAGGGATAATATCAGGCCTGTGTTATATTCTACCTCTCTTCTCCCTTTAAATTGTAAAAATGATCATCAGATACCTTCATTTTATTTAACGTAGCAATTCTC